TTTTGGCGATTTTAGCAAAGAATTTATTCCTATAATTTTTGGTTTCTTCGTTTGTAATAATGATTGTATTCTCACGCTTATTATCACCGTTCTCTGATTATCATAATTAGCGGTCATCATAGTTGTTGGTTTTGATGATTGGTAATCAATAATTTAGAAAAATCACTAAAATGAAAATAACTGAAATTATAAAAAATTATCAGCCTAGTCCTAATGATTACAATTATTAATAGATTGTTTTTTATAATTTTATCAACAGTTTTTTACTTGTTTATCATTAATTCTTGAGTGCGGAGTGTGACGTTTTGATTTTTTTATTGATTTTTTTAAAATTTTTGTGAAATTTTACGAACTTTGTAATTTCAGCGTTACTGCAGCCTCTTTTGAGAGTGAGAATTTGAGCATTTTATTGCAACCAATGTTATACATTCTACACGAATGCCTCGCTACCTGGCTTCTTAAAGGCAAACTGAGCGACTTCGAATTTGAGGTAGGTTTTTTGCTTTCAAAAAGATTGTTTTTACAGATTAACAAAAACCGTACTAATCTTCGCCTGCAGCTGCAAAATATAGCTAATATTTCTAGCTGAAATGCTTTAGGCTGATGGAACTTAGCCATCGAATTCAAGCTCTAGAGTAGAACAAACCACGCACCAAAATCCACTATGCCAATCCGTGCACCTATGTGCATGCAGACACACATACATACACACACATACATACACACATGCACATAAATAACACTTCGAAGCTGCGCCATGTCAAGTTGCTTTAACCAGTGCTGCATAGCGTGCTGGTGATCCCGGCATTTTACAACAAATTTAGAAATGGAGATTTTGTCGCATCTTTGAAAAGCTGTTACCACGCTGTGGCCATCATTGACGTGTATTAGTACACTGTTTCATTATGCACTTTTTTTTTTGAAAAATTACCGCGCGAAAGCTTTTTTTTTCGAATATGTTTTTAAAAGAGTTATTTAGTGGATGATTGAGAAAATAGCAGATCAGTGGTATGAAAACAGCTGGAAGGACGAATATAGAATTGTGAGCACAGCAATCCCAATTGTACTGGAATTGTCTGAAAAAATCGTAGAAAAGGTAATTTTTAAGATAATTTTTCTACTAACGGTCTGTTTGTTTTATTCCACTCTCGCCAGTTAAAAAATATTTTAATGTTGGAAGAAGAAAAATTAACTTAAAAATTTTTTATTTTAAATTTTAATTTTTTTGTTTCTTTATTCGTTATTATGCGTTTTGTGCTGTGTAACAGCAGTACAAAACGCATATTGTTACGGGGTTGTC